ATTTGTACTTGATATAGTACACGGAGATCCGGAAATTATGGTCGGTCACATAGCTTTAAAAACTGGAATTTCTCCATCAGTAGCATGAGAAGTATTACACCAAAACAACGTATACCCTTATCATCGGCAACGACTTCAAGAATTACTACCACGCGACTATCCTGACTATCCTGCTAGGTTGATTTTTTTGCAAATCACTATCGATAAAATCACAATAAATTAAATTTTTTTAAAAAATATTTTATCTACTGACGAGGTTGTATTTAAAAAAAGATGGAATTTTTAACCACAGTTGGATAAATATAGCGGTTCTGATACCTACTCCATACTCCCCACTGATCGACCACGTGACCTATGTATATTTCTCATCTCCATGCATATCGTGTACGTGACTGTTCCTCCCTAGAGTAGGTGGTGGTCAAAATATTGCTGGAGATTTAGCCTTACATACTTTAACCAACTAAGTCACGGCTAAACATTATAATAAAAATATGCTGTGTACGACTGTTTACAATGACGAACGTGAGTAATAACGTGTTAATAAGTAGTGGGATAGACCTGCGTAGATTTAATTCAAATAAATGATTTATAACATGTGATAATATATGATAACGTGTGATAACAATAATGTGTGATAAGGATGGGGACGTATGTCGTGCACGTACGCGCCCGGGCGGTGGCGAAAGTGGTAGGGGGAGGTGAGGGAGGACCAGTCACGTACACGATATGCATGGAGGTGAGAAATATACATAGGTCACGTGGTCGATCAGTGGTGAGTAGGGGGTAGGGAGTAGGTATCAGAACCGCTATATTTATCTTACTGACCACTACATTTCACATTTGCGGTCCGAAGAAAATCCGCGTGCTATTTGTAAATATTTAGTGTGGATTGGTTGGAAATACTTTATCAGGCCCTCATGGATTACCAATTACCGGTGAATTACCGATTACATGGCAGGGATTTTCACGTCTAATTGACGATCTCCCGGTACTACTAAGAACGTACCATTTGAAGAACAAGAAACCATGTGGTTTATGTTTGATGGTGCACATACAAATGCAATCCGACGACAATCACAATATTTTTTTCCTGACAAACATATTGGTAGAGGAGTTGAAAAAAACGTCTAATATCACCCAGATGACTACCGAGCAGCCCTGACTTCAACCCATGTGACTTTTTCTTATAGGGTTTTACGAAGGAACAAGTTTGTGTTAAAGAAGTAAATAATAGTGATGAACTCTTGATAACGATTATAATTATATATCTGATATCATTCGCCAAACAACAAATTTGTCCGGAAAAATAATTGGAATTCGTTGCGTCTTCGTATGGAAAAGTACATTGAAGCTAGCGGGGATAAAAATGTATTTTGCAATGTAAAAACTGAGTTAATTAATCGTATATGCAAAATGGCAACAAACAATTATCACCACTGTTTATCTTGCAGTTCTCATACGAATCGATGTGTCATATCACTTTGTTTTTGGTTGGCGACTAGAGCGAGGAAAACGGTTCCGAGATCGACTGATCACCGTGCACGCGTCTTAGCACCGTTCGACTGCTCTCTATTAACGACTATGAGTTTCGTTTTTAAGGTTTTTTTTTTGTTTTGTTTTTTGTATTCACCATATTTGGATACATATTGGATACATTGTATCCATCATATTTCTGTTTTATTTTTTCGTCGTAACATGGGCGGGCGTTCTCCTCGTTAACGGATACCGTCAAGACGTTTACGCGTTTGCGGTAATAATTTATACAAACACACGCGCGCGCGTACACCAACTCGTTATTATTATTACTATCATTATTGATGTTGTACCGTTGCCGCGCGCGTTTTGCCCGGCAGATGTTTGGGACAAGGGTTGCACACCGGTATTTTTCGTTCGGGTTTCGCACCTAAGCGCGCCCGCAGGATAAAAACTCACCAGGGCAAGATTAAAATTCTATGGGCCGAAACAACGTGTATCTAAAAATAGATGAGAACAAAATCAAATGCCATAGAAATCGGTAGTCGAGAGAACTTATAGTTTTATGCAATATGCAGTCATGTGTGAACTAATAAATACGTTAAAAATTATACATTTTAAATTATCTCCATGATCATATATCAAATCTATGATTTCCCCCTTAAAATGCAACCCTCAACACAGACAAATCTAACGAAAACTACGACCTTCCCCTCAACACATAAAAACCTAACCTAACTAACCCTCAATAAATATAAACCAAACGAAAATCACGACGCTCCCCTTAAATGCAACCTGCAATACACCAAACATAGAAACCCATGATCTTCCCCCACCCTCAATACAAACAAACCTAATGAAAACCACGACCTTCCCCTAACATACAAATAACACATACAAATTTAACCACGACTCTCTCAACAATAGCAGATAATAATAATATTCTGGCTCGCAAAGCACAATAAATAAATAATTTTACACGTATAATAATAATGATTTGCCTACGACGGCAAAACCCGTGGGCCTTTAAACAAATGAAATAAATATGGTCCACCAATACTCACAATGACCTGTGACTGTTTGATGGCAATTGAGCGATAAAAAGTTCTGGATAATCAATACAGCCAATTTTATGTATTAATAGCAAATTCAAAATCAGAAAAAATAAATTTAGTAAAACTAAAAAACAATGAAAATTAATAAGCTGGACGATATCTGAATGAACGATACTTTACCAAACGGTCGAATCACAAACGAAGATGATAATACAAAGATAATACTCAACAACGTGGTTTGAACAAAATGGCTGTAGACGTACGAAAACTTGACATGAAAAATGATGTGCACACCACGAAGTCAAATAGACGAGATCGCGGCAGTGTCGACGACATTCATCATGAAAGCTATGGCCACCGGACACTACAAAATGAAAATAAATGTCTCAGTGCCACCACACTAAAACTATAACATGAGAACTTTGTGAAATTTATTATTATCTGCATCGTTAAAATAATGAAATTGTAACTCTTGTTCAGACATTTTACTCATATCTAATGTAGGTAGATATAAATGTTTTTTTATGTTATTTTTTCATGCTGAATGTTTCTGAGTACTACTTGTTTTATTTTGAGCAATAACAAGTTCTGGATAATCTATAAATCCATCAAAATTTGTGTCATCCAAGGTTAAAATAAGATCAATAAGTTGCATTAGCTCTTCACCCTTAAATATTTCTTCTGATGGAAGTGCACCACCAGCAGCTGGATCATGGCTACCTTGAACATGCCAATAAATGAGTAACTGATAAGTACACATCCATCTAACTTATTATTATTATCTGCATTGTGCATTTTAAAATTATGAAATTGTAACTGTTGTTCAGACATTTTACTCGTATCTAATGTAGGTAGATCTAAATGTTTTTTTATATGCTCGCTTTCCTCAACCAAGTTTGAAGTATGCATCACTTTTTGAGGTTGATGTCCTTGAGAACCACCCAAGATGCCTGCGCCCGATACAATGTTAGAGTTTGATGCATGGAAAAAAACACAGTGGCATCCCATAGTAAATTATGCCGACTTCGAGGCGCTTCTCGTTAAATGTACCGAAGAAAAAGGAAAAAATTCAACTATAATTTAAAATCATGAGCCTATGAGTTATGGTTTTGTCGTAAAGCTCGATGATCACATACCAAACGAACTGCTTGAAGTATTTAAAATACCAACATCGCTAGTTATATATCACGGTAGTGAGAGCCGACAGGACGTGGCAAAACATTTTATAAAAATTATTGTGGAAATAGCAAAAAAAAAATAGACAAACTACTTCAAACTATTAAATACTATAACTACTAACTATTTATAACTTGGACATCTGAACAATAGCGATTACATGATGCATGTACAACATGTAATTTATGTAAAATGGATTTTCCAAAGTAAACCATAAAGTAGCTGATCACTGCTATTTATCTGGAAATTTTCGGCTAAACATTATGCAATACATGTAATCTAAAGCTTCAACATTCAAACTTGTCCACCTGTTTTCTTCCACAATTTATCAAACTATGATGCCCACTTTTTGGTAACTGAGCTTGGATATGACATGATCACAATTTCTGTAATACCAAACAGTGAAGAAAAGTTTATTTCATTTTCGAAATATATCAACAACTCCTTCACAATCCACTTCATAGATACATATAGATTTATGGTTTCCAGCTTATCAAATTCAGCCAAAAATTTAATAACACCAGGACTTGAGAAATTTAGAGAAACTGCAAAACATTTTTTAATCGAAGACATATCACTCATTACTCGTAATAGTGTTTACCCTTATGAATTTACAGATGGCTGGAACAAGCTGAAGAAAACTCCCTTTATTTGGCAACATACACCATAGACCCAGCATTCTACTACACTTGTCCAGGATTCTCTCTTGATGCGATGCTGAAACATACTTCAATGAAACTGGAACTACTTCATGACTATAATATGTTGCTGATGATCGAAAAAGGTAATGACACAATATTTTATAATATATAATTATTTAATAGTAAATAATTTATTATTTTAGGTATACGTGGAGGCTCACTAAAGTGAGATGCGGTACGCGAAAGCAAATAATTACAAGACTCCAGATTATGACGAAACAATACCTAAATCATGGTTGATCTACCAAGAGCGTAAGTGTTTTTTATAGTTTTATTTATTCAGTTAAATATAGTTTTAATAATTTTAGGTAATAACTTGTTTGGATGGGCCATGTCGCAATACATGCCATGTAATGGTTTCAAAAGGGTTGAACTATCACTAAACGGTTTAAATGATTTGACGGAAACATCATCCGCCCTATCATAGGGCGGATATATGAAATAGATATTTCATATCCTCAAAATCTACATGATATCCACAGTGACTTACCTTTTCCTTCCTCAAAACAGCATACCATCCGGCTTAAAAGTAAAAAAAATTGATGGAAACATTAGAACCCAAGAAATATTATAATATAATATTTCTTGGGTTCTAATGTTGCCATCAATATTTTATTATATTATTGTTTATTATTACCGTAATCTACAAAAAGCCATTGAAAACGGCATTAAAGTGGAAAACGTAAGCGTTTATTTTATAACAATTGTGCGATGAATACATTATAATATTTTTAGGTACATAGAGTCATAGAATTTAATCAGTCGGCATGGTTGGCTGATTACATCAACCTGAACACTGAGGTGCGTAAGAAGACCACAAACGATTTCGAGAAGGACTTTTTTAAGCTTATGAACAATGCAGTATTTGGTATATTGTTGTAAATTACAATTTTAAATTTTTCATAACATTTTTTATGATTCAGGCAAAACGATGGAAAATGTTCGTCAACGTATACAAATTAAGCTAGTATCCAGTGAAAAGTATTTACAGAAATTTATAAATAAGTCTACATTCAAACACTGCACAACTTATAACGAAAACCTCAACGCTGTATCGCTTGAAAATAAGATTATCGATTTTTGTAAGCCTATCTATATTGGTAAATACATGGGTACTTTAAATTTTCTATCAACATATTATAATATTTGAAATTTTCAACAAGCTTAGTAAAACAATTAGTAAAACACTAATGTACGACTATCACTGTAACGTCATACAAAAACATTTTGGAGACAAAATTGAGCTCATGTATACCGATACAGATAAATATATATTAATAATATCTTAATTTATCAAATATAATAATCGATATTAATTTTTTTAAATTCACTGGTTTACTATATTCAGACTGATAACTTTTACAAAGACTCGGAGAATAATTTAAACTTGCTGGACAGAATGTGTGTTATGAAGTGAACCAACATATTAGTTTTGTAATCATTATTAGAATTGAGCCTAAATATGCAAAACAATACCATAATTTTAATCGAATTTAAGAGTTCATAAAACTATGTAAAAAAAAAAATAATTTAATTAAGATATATGTATGTATGTCATAATATCATAGTAAAAATATTAAAAATCGTGTACAATTATGTTAATTCCAATAAAGTCATAGATAAATATAATTTCAAAAGGATATATGTTTAAATCATAGACACCAATTAATGGTACAACGATGAGCAATTCCATAATATGCATTCCATCATGCGCTGATCCCAACTACAGTATTTGTGTTAAAATGGGTATCCATTATTCAAATCACCATTAATAGTATAAAATATATCAACCTCTTCTCCATAGTGCCTATAATACTAAGTAATTCCCATATTTAAATTCTCAAATAAATAAAATTTCACAGTGACAAAGTTCTTATATATTAAATTATCATTGTTTAGTAATTATTTATTTTTAAAATATAATAGAACCTAAGGCCACAAGTTAAATTTTTTTGCAATATACATTTTTCTCGTATATATATTGAAAACATGAAGCTCATGAATCGTTAAATGTAATGATAACTATTTAAAATATACTATGAAAACAAAATTAACTGATAACCACTATACTTTTATATATTACCTAAATAATACTTGATTCATTTCATGACTCTTTCATGTCCAAACGTCATAGTAAACATCCTTCATACAGCTTAACAATATTCTTCATATATAATTATACTTTATTTAGTGTGTCTACGTTCAATATTTGAATCGTATCAATGTTGGTCCGTGTTAAAAGTGAGGGAAAATCATGGTTTTCTATAGGTTTGGTGTATTGCAGGTTGCATTTAAGGGGGATGGTTCCTAATTAGATTTATAATTTTTGGGGGGGTCGTGGTTAGATTTGTATGTGTTTAGGAGAAGGTCGTGGTTTTCATTAGGTTTATTTGTATTAAGGGTGGGGGAAAATCATGGGTTTCTATAAGTTTGGTGTATTTCAAGTTGAATTTAAGGGGAGGGTCGTGGTTTTCGTTAGGTTTATATTTATTGAGGGTGAGTTAGGTTAGATTAGGTTTTTATGTGTTGAGGGGAAGGTCGTTAGTAGTTTATCTGTGTTGATGGTTGCATTTAAAGGGGCATATTTTAGATTTTATAGTGGGCACCTCCCAAACATATATAGTTGTTGCCTATAATAATGTGCTATGCTTTAACATGTAAAATTTAAGGGGGATGTGGCGCAGAACCGCCAATATTATACTACTGACGTGTACATAATATATTTCGATCAACGCTATTCTATTTTATCGTTTTGCCCGTTCTGTTCAACTGCCAGACAATTAACAAACCTCAAGAACAAAACGTAGAACAGTTAACAACTGCTGTTCACTTGGTTAACTTTGTATATTATAAGATATTCGCCATAACAATATCCACGTACTACAATTCGTACGTGATAAATCCTCCTATTAGTCATGTACATTTTGATTTTGTCGTCGAATAAATGTAATTTGAAAAGACGCACGAAACTTAGCGTAGAACACAAACCATGATTTATTCACACGTATTGGGCGTGTTTCTTGTTTTTTTTTTTTTTTGATCAATCATCATTTTAATCGCAGAAACGGTACCTATCGTAAGTTGAAAACTATACGCTGAACAATTTGAACATAGTTTATCGATCGGATGAGATTAGGCATATAAACAAACATCATCATCAATCGCGAGTATACCACGATTTAAAAATGAACATTCTTGCGTTTGTATATTTTGATTTTGGGTGAATCGAGAAATGTATTTATTATTGAATCGTTATCGATTTATATTTTCGAGTTCTAATAAGTACTGCGAGTTCGACAAGTGTCACGTTACAACCAATAATGGTATGATTAATAATCAAAATTAATAATTAATATGGAACAACAGGCATTCAGAGCATTTGCAATAATCATCAGCACATTGGTTATGAAAAAAAAAAAAAAAAATCGACTGGTAGAGAAAAAAGTCTTACATTATTGTAGTTTATTAAACGTTATTAAACATTATTTTCTACAGGACCAACGCGCTTGATCGATGATTTATATCGTTTTATTACACATACAATACCATTTACCTACATGGTGTACGGCAATAACAAACCCATAAGACGACGTTTAGAATGTAATACAGTAACAAGTAACCTATAATGGTTTTCCACTGCAGATATTTATAAATGTGTTCGTATCTGCATTTATATTTTTACAGTGGAATTTCTGTTTTATTTCAATTTTTCGTGTTTTCATGTGTACGGAGAAAATTAAAAATTCTATTGATACTCAATACACGAACGAACCGTGACACAAAAAACTCATGACATACCGAAACGTAAGAAAAACCCTCGGAGGACACATGACTTCCTGCGCCTAGTTGACACGTAAAGCTTGTAAAGGCGAGACTTTCAGGAAAACTCTCACGGACCCCCGTTCGATTGGATGCGGAAACACATCGCCACGTAAAAGTCCTTGTAAAACAGCACTTAAAAAATTAGACGTCCGCGTTCGTCCGCACCACCTTTACACGAGACGTACCTAAGCGTGCGCGTACAATGCGTACAGGTATATAAAGTATATGTTGTAGAATTACTGGCGAGCATACACACACACGCACACCAACAAACAGCCGTTTGGACCTAAGTACTACGACGAGGTGTACATATGCACACACACACACACATATATATATACAAACGGATATTGAGTTTTTATGATCTATAATTATGGTAACTATCTCCCTAATAATTATTATTGCTGTACGGTTGCGTAAGGAAACTACTGCCGGCAGGTAGGTTAATAGCATTGTCAGTGGCCCCAGGCATCAACGACGGGGACGGCTCCAATGCCGCGCGCGCCGTCGACGTTGTCGTCATCGTCGTCGCCGCTCCTTTCGAGATCTGGGTCTTACAAAAAAAAAAAAAAAAAAAAATCCACAAAAGGAAAGAAACGAAAAAAAAAAAAGGGAAACGAACATTAGGGTTTTTTTTCCCCTAACTTATATTATATTATTATTATTATAGCCGTTTTTTTTTTTTTTTGTTTTGTTCCAAATCTTTATTGTTATTATTATGTTAAATAATTTTACGTATACAACTACGACATCGGCTGCGAAATGGAAAGAATAATATTATGATCTACGAATACCTTATACGTATTTTAGGATAATTTTCGTATGTATAATCCATCCAGAGTGCATAAATATTTATTAATCGCTCCGTGCAGTGTACTATCGACACATTTAGTGTGTGCTATAAAATATTATTTTACACTCACATGGATATCGGCAATTGGGTTCATAATTTTATATTTATTTTAAACTGTAGTCGATAGCTATATGAGGGTTAGAGTATACTTTATAAAGACCAGAAGTCGTCTGATCCGAGAAACCTTTTATAAATAGGGTCGTTAAAATGGTTTGTACATTATACTATAAAAATAGTATAATCGTTAATAATTTTCTTTTTTTTTTTCTTTTACTCTATTTATGTACATACTATTGCACATGATGATTGCATACTATATTGTAATTATAGAACCAAGTGCAGGATCAAGAGTCGAAATCATTTTAGACCGTTAAAAACATATAATGTTAAACACCGTTTTATGAGTACACACATAAAGGTTCCTCGAATTTAGTAGAAAATAAATACAATTTTAAATATTTATAAAAAGTTACAAAATAGTTAATAAAATACGTTCTTTGCCGTCAACGATTATTATTATTTTCAAACGTTAAAAATATTAAAAAACGGTTTAGAATAATTTAGTGTCTAATAACGTAGTGGAGTGGATATTTAGTGCAATATAAATTACTGATAATAATAATTAACGTAAAAAAATATTTGAAAAAAAACTCTTCATAACTCTACAAAGTGTTTCAGTGCATATAAATATATGAACATAAAATTACGAATGGTATTTTACGGTGGTCGTAGAGCAAAGGAAAGAACACGCTTTAATTTTGTTAGCAATGTAAAAATTCGATGTTCTGTTGTTTTATTTAGTAATTTTACGTGTTTATCTGGTCTGCAGAATAAAATTATTAAAAAACAATTGTTACGACAGTAATAGTAATAAATCTAGTTTTATACGAAATGATTAATGGTACGCGTAATTTGATTTAAATAACTGTATAATTTTTAATTATTACACCAACCTTTAAATTCTAATAATGTCTGTGTTACCGAAACTATTTGACGTTTTTATTGCATATTATAATTTATAATTTCGCCAACAGGTTTTAACAATTAACTCGTATAGTTACAAATATGTTATATACCTCCTAATTGGTGCAGTTAATAATTTATAATATCAATTTGTGTTGAAGTCATAACTCATATGAAAACAATATTACTGTTTTTATGTAAACTATATAATTATTGTAATTTAATATATACACATAAACTGTGCATGACAGATTTTCGCTATAAACAAGAGGTGTTATAATTTATTCAATTAAATCGAAATATCGTCGAGAGTATTAAATATATATAACACTAATAACATATGAAATATATAAACATATAATGTTTGACAGTTGTAATAATAATAATTTTTCGAAATAAGAAATATTCGAGTTAACCATTATTTATTATTCAAACGAAACCAAT